TTGTTGTTCCCCATTGAGTCTTCACATTCAAGGCTTGTTGTTCCCCATTGAGTCTTCACATTCAAGGCTTGTTGTTCCCCATTGAGTCTTCACATTCAAGGCTTGTTGTTCCCCATTGAGTCTTCACATTCAAGGCTTGTTGTTCCCCATTGAGTCTTCACTCCCTCGGCCCCATTGAGTCTTCACTCCCTCGGCACCCCACGCCCTTTGCCTTGTGCTCCAGGGACCTTAGCAGCAATCGCATGACAGGGACCATTCCTCCATCCATCAGCAGCTTAAGGAATCTTCGTGGCTTGTCAGTATTACTATGCATGCCACGCCATGCCATGCCATGCCATGCCATGCCACGCCATACCATGCCATACCACTCATATCTATCCACGGCACTCACCACCTGTATAGGCATATCATCTCATGGGAAGAGGCGTAGCTGATCTTAGATATCCCTCCTGACCACAACACACTCATGCCTCAGCACTGCCGTCTCAATACTCCCTCTAGATGGGAGAAGCCTAAGGAGAGACTCAAAACCACGCCCTACTATCCCTGTCCCTCTACCCGGCAGAAACCTCGAGAAGAACGAGTTGGAAGGCGGCTTGCCTGAAAGCATATTCACACTTACGAATCTGCTGTGGTTGTAAGACGCTGCCACGCACCCACACCCACTCACTCCTTGGCCAGACCTTCCCACCCCACCCAAGTATTTCAAAATCGCCTCTGTCTTCCCCTCGATCAGACCACGGTGTCATTTCTTTCTCTGCTGCCATCGCGATGCCATTTATCCACCTGCTACTGAGCATGGCGTGCAGTGCGGTGCGGTGCGGTGCACTGCATTCCTTTGAATCTCTGCTTCTCCCCGCCCGGTGGCTGAGTGCACACATGCAGGGAGGTGAGCATGAACAAGCTCTCAGGGCCTGTTCCCTCCACAGTCAGCAAGCTCTCCAAGCTCTGGTCACTGTGAGTTGCTGCTTCCCACCCACCCCGTTGCTACATGGACAGCTTTCCTATGTCACGTGCATTCCCTCACCAAGGTTCAGCTGTCCCGATCCCCGCATGCCATGCCGCCAAGCATCCATGCCGTGCATGCCTGCATGCTTCTCATGGCCATGTATTGCGCATGGCAGCTGTCGTGCATTGGGATTCATGGGCTTTGGGAATTTTTCACTCCCACGGCTTCTAGCAATATTTTTGGATGCACACAACACAACACGCATGCATCCACTTGCAGACTGTGTTATCTCTTTCGCTTTCGCCTTTCTTTCCCTTCTGGGTTTTCGTTGCTTTCCCTTTGCGTACCCTTTCTATGTACCTCGCAGCCGCACAACACTTATTTGCATCTTTCCTGCAATGCCACACTGCGCCACAATTTACACCATCTTCCTTCCTATTGTCTGCAGACGGATGCACAGCAACCATCTAGCGGGAACCATCCCTGGCACAATAGACAGCCTCACCGCCCTACTCTATCTGTGAGCCTGCAACCACAACCTTCCCTGCTTCTCACCTTACCGCAATCGCTTCTTCTTTCTCTCGCACACCTTTTCTCCTAATCTTCTGGGTGTGTTGTAGCACTCTCAACAAGAACACCTTTTTCCTCTACCTGCCAAACACCCAGCGTGCCTAGTCCAACCAATCCAGGTGCTCCTGCTGTCCCGCGCTCTCCAAGATTCCATCACGGATGATGCTCACATGGCCACATCTTCTAGTTACATACCATCCATACGTCAAACCCCTTTGTGCTTCTGGCACTTGCCATCTCCTTGCGTGGTTGCTGGACGATCCCTGCTTCTCTCCTTCCCTCCCTATCCACGTTTGTTATGCTCTCCACTGCTCCCTTTTCACGAATCACGCGCATGGTGTCCCATGGCATCCCGTGGCATCAGGTCACTGGCGTACAACCAGCTGTATGGCAGCTTGCCCGCGTCACTCTCAAAGCTAACGGCTCTCAACAAATGGTACATTCTAATGTTCCTGCGCTGCATCTGTAATTAATGATAGAGTCGCCTCACTCCACCACCACCATCGCGAGTTACGCATGGGAGCTTGTTTTCACTACATGGATGCAAGATTGTAGATGGGAGCAAGATGGTAGATGGGAGCAAGACGGTAGATGGGAGCAAGATGGTAGATGGGAGCAAGCACACCACTTTTTAACTCTTCGCTGAGTCAAAGTGCTTGAGCCTCTCCTCCTCCTCCTCCTCCTCCTCCTCCTCCTCCTCCTCCTCCTCCTCCTCCTCCTCCTCCTCCTCCTCCTCCTCCTCCTCCTCCTCCTCCTCCTCCTCCTCCTTCTCCTCCTTTCCCCTCCTCCTCATAGCATTCACAGCCGTATAATCATCTGCTTCTTAGATTCCTTTCGCATACCTGCTGCCTGTTTCTCTTACCCCTCAACCCACCACCACCCCCACTTCCCCTTCCTCTTCCCCTCCCCTTTCCAGTGATCTCTCACACAACTACCTCACAGGTCGGCTTACAAACACCACACAGTTCAGAATGGATCTTGCAAACAACTACCTATCCGGTGCTATCTCAGAGCCCACCTGCACCCAGCACAACATCATCGCCAACTGCTTCACACTCGGCAATGCATGCAGCTCTGACCTGCTGCAGAGGCCACCAGCAGAGTGTGCAGCGTTTTGCGGGATCACCAACGCGACATCTGCGTGTGAAGGCCATGGGACTTGCTATCCGGACGGGCCCAGCTTGGTGCCCACGTGCATGCGGTGCGACCCAAGGTCTTTGCAGCTTCCAGGAAACACCTGCGTTTCTGCAGGTACATGCATATCTGCGCCCTTTGCTGAAGGAAAGCATGTGCGACCAACGATCGATCCTGCACGCTCTGCTTACTCTTTTCTGTCGCATGGGCATCACAAGCAGAGTAACAGCAGGTTCACAGGAACAAAACACCATCTCTCTGCTTCCCTCCTATTTCCCCACTGCCCCCTTTTCCATGCACATCCCTTCAGAGTGGGTGAAGACCCTCCCTGTCAGCAGCCCCATCCTCCCGCCCTTCACCATACTCACCAAGGGCACCAAGCGGGAAACAGCCGGGAAGTTCATGGCAAAGCCAGTCACCCTCTTCGCATACCCTTCCGGTCTGCCCCAATCCCTGGGATGCGGTGTGGAGCTAGCGTTCACTGTCAACTTCACCTTCTCCCTCGTTCCCCAGTCCGGCGCTGCCGGGTCCAACGGCTTTGCGTTTGTCATCGCAGCAAAGGCCAAGGTGGGGAGGGGGGACGGCGTGGGGTATGGCGGGGTGGGGCCGCGGAGCCTGGCGGTGGAGTTTGACACGTTGCAGAACGGCAACCACAGCGATGTCAGCCGGCAGCACGTGGGGCTCAATATCAACGGCCTGGATCGATCCTTGGTCGCTGAGGTGTCCCCTTACATGCTCACGGATGGCAACGCATATACGGCATGGGTGGACTATGAACCTGGTGATCCCGGGGATCCCGGCACCATGCGGGTGTTTCTAGCTGGCTCCATGACGAAGCCGGAGGAGCCGCTGCTGCAGCAGGAGTTTTCTCTGTGTGCGGTGCTGCAGGGTGGTGTGCGGCAGAGCGCGTTCTTCTTTGGGTTTGTGGCGTCCACTACGGTGAAGCCGTTCCAGCTGCATGGAATTGTGCGCTCTGCCGTGCAAACAGGTCAGGGCTTGCTGGGTGGGGTGATGCGGATGGGGGGATTGGGATGGTAGTGGGGATGGGGATGGGGATGGGGATGGGGATGGGGATGGGGATGGGGATGGGGATGGGGATGGTGATGGTGATGATGATGATGAGGATGGTGATCACTATGTGAATGGTGAGAGTATCTAGCATACATGGGTGCTGGGTGGTGTGGTGGTGTTGCACTAGTGATGATGGCAATGGGAAGCATGACTAGCGGTTGCTGATTTGAGTGATCTTGCCTTGTCGTTGCCTGCTACTCATGTGGCTCTCTCCTTGTCTCAACTCAAGACCCGACCATGTGTCAATCGTGTTCTTGATGCTGTTCTCTTTCGTCGCGCCGTGTGTGTGCTCTCACTCTCACTCGCAGGCGTGATTCCACTCAAGTCAGCCCGCATCAAACAGCAAGGTGAGCTCTCTCTGTCACGCAACAAGCAATCATGATAGCATCAGGTTCAGCATCAGGTTGAGCATCAGGTTCAGCATCAGGTTCAGCATCAGGTTCCGCATCAGGTTCCGCATCAGGTTCCGCATCAGGTTCCGCATCAGGTTCCGCATCAGGTTCCGCATCAGGTTCCGCATCAGGTTCCGCATCAGGTTCCGCATCAGGTTCCGCATCAGGTTCCGCATCAGGTTCAGCATCAGGTTCCGCATCAGGTTCCGCATCAGGTTCCGCATCAGGTTCCGCATCAGGTTCCGCATCAGGTTCCGCATCAGGATCGGAAAGAACATGAGGGTCACAGCACAAACCACCATCCACATGCGCCTCTCTCTCCTTTTTCCCTGTGCCCCTTCCCCCCTCTCTCACAGCCCGTGGCCTCACACTCTCATCGACCACATACGCCCCCCCCAGAGCCAGCCCCTTCCTGCGCTATGTGAGCACAGACTACGAACTAGCCTCCAACAACCAAGACTCGTGGCGCATCCGTGACTTTCACACCTGGGACTCTGTGGGCTTCCTCGGATGGTCTGTCAAGGATCAGGCCACCTGCAGTGAGTGCAACGAGGGTGACAGGGCACATTGGAGTGCTTGTGGTTGGGATCCGGTAACTCTTTTTGGTTGAAGTTTTCTGGATGCTGGTGCATGTGCGCGCGTCACAGAAAGTGCACGGTTCTTCCCCACCCGCCGTATCACATCCTCCACCCATCTGGATCTTGTTCTTTTTGCTTAAGGCCAGACTACACGACTGCTGCTCTCTGAGAATCCTGACTGAACATCGTATCACATGCCACACCCATCTGGATCGTGCTCTTTTCCTTCTTCTTCTGCTTCTCCTCAGATGCATGCTGGGCGTACGCAGTGGTGGCGAGCATAGAAGCAGCGTACGGCATTGCAAGGCATCAGAGCGCGCCACAGCTATCAATGGAGCCGCTCTTTGCAGCCATGGGGCTGGCTGGTGCAGACAAGTGCTCCTCTGGAGGCTCACCCACTGAGGCCTTTGAGAAGCTCGTGACCCTTGATGCCGGGAATGGGCTTACTGGGGTCAGTCAATCGGTAAGGCAAGCAGGGTTTGGGCTTTGGGATGTGCGGTAAGTGCTGCAAGGTGAGGTAGAGGAATGGGAGTGTATGCTAAAGAATGCGAGGTGGATGGTAGTGTACGCTAAAGCATTTGAGGAAGGTGATTGCTATCTCTTCACTTTTCTTCCACCTTATGAAACCCGCTAGGCTTCACTTGGTATACAGAATGGTGAGTGGATACTTGTTATCATGCATGCATTGTATCCGCACGCACACAGTTCACGCTGCTGGCATGCCCCTTCTTATCAAGGGGCAGTTGGTGCTCACGCTGACAGTGCGCTTCTCACTATATTCATCTCCCAACAATCTCTCTGTGCTATGATCTGATCTGATCTGATCTGATATGCAGACAACAAAGTACCCCATTCAGGGCTTTGAGCGCACATCATTCAAGGGGTATGTGGGGCTCATGCTGGCAGTGCGGCGGCAGCCAGTGGTGGTTCACATCGAAGCCTCTGCTGCCACGTTTGTCGCCTATGATGGGGTGAGTGATTCCTTGCGTTGTTCATGAGGGGTGAGTTCGTGTGTTCTCTGTCATAGATTAAGTCCTTGCAACGCTCAGTTAATGTGGTTCCCCAAAACCTTCTTGCGAATGGACATGTATTCATGTGTCTGCGCTGCAATCCCTTGTATACGAATGGCCTCTTCTTCAACTTCAACGCAATGCCAGCATAGCTGACTGTACACCCGTAACTGTATGTACCTTTGTCCCCTTTTTGCTTCAGACGTTCAAGTACCAGGATCCTGAGTGCTACACTGGCAATCTGAATCACGTTGTACTCGTTGTAGGGTACTTCATTAACAGAAACGACGGCAGTCAGAACCGCATTGCGCCGCCGTTTTGGATCATCCGCAACTCTTGGGGAGAGGAGTGGGGAGATAGGGGCCACATGCGCATGGACATTCAGGGAGGGGATGGCGTGTGTGGTATCAACGTGTTGCCTGGCATCTACCCCGTTGTCAAGAGTGAGGCATTTACTCCATCGTCAGGTCTATTGTTCCCTGCCGATGGCAAGTTTGCCAGGCACATACATACACACGCTCTGGTGCTTTAGCTTCTAAGCACCTGACTGCTAGGGTGACGTGAGTTGCACAGTGCCATTCCCGTTCCTCTTATGCTACGATCTTGCAGCTCTCTTGTAAATTCATCTCACTCACATCACATCACGTGTATGTAACTTCCCTGCGCCACCCCAGTTCCGGGGGACCCATGCAGCAGCAGCAGCTACAAGGGCGACCAGGATCTCTCCGGCATGAACCCGTGCGGTCGGTTCAGGTGCAATGCGGTTGATGACACCAGCTATACCTGCAGCTGCATCATAGAAGGAGCTGCCAGGCAGCCGTTTGTTGAGGCTGACAACGGGAATGGCGCCAGCACATGTGCTTATGGTAAGCTGCGTGTGGGTTCCACTGGGCTCTATAGGGTGCTGGGTTGTTAGGTTGCAGCAGCACAGCAGCACTGCTGCGGCTGCAGCACCGGTAGGATCACTTCAGACTGAGTCAGGCGACAGTGGTGGTTGCAATCTGCGCCTGCAAGACTTGGAGCTGGAGAGGCTTGGAACAGAGGCATTGAAACTCGGCTTCAACTTGTACTCGCATGCCCTCTGCTCTCATGTCTCATGCGCTCCGCTCATGCGACATATGTGCCTGTATGTTGCTGTTCCCTTACTCTCCTTCCTCAATCCCCCATCCCTGTGCTATCTATCGATCTGTCTATCACAACCCCAATGCCATTGCGCCAGTGGACGTGTGTGGATCTTACTTCAAGAACCCTTGCTACGTGGGCACATGCATCAACGACGGCAGAGGCTCCTACGCCTGCATCTGCCCTCCCAACTACATTGAAAGCACAACTGTCTATGACACCCCCACCTGCGACCCAGGTGAAACCCTACTGTGGTGTTTGAGTGTGCCACTTCGTTTGTACTGTTCGCAATCTACCATCTATCTTTCTTATCTCAAGTCCATACTGTATGTCCATGCACCAGTGCATGAGGTGGCATTGGTCTCCTCAAACCTGCTCAATCTCCACGCTTGCTCCCCTTTCCTGACACACCTCTCTCTCCCTTATCAACTCTACGTGCTTTGCAGCTAACACAACAGCCACCAGCATGACAGTCAGTGGAGACAACTGGTTGTGTTCGGATGTGTATCCACTTGTCGGCCTCTCACTGGCTGATTTCACACTCCAAAATGCGGTAAGGGCTGGGTACAGGAGTGGGCGTGTTAGGCTAGCGCAAATCTCCTGTCTGACTCCATATTCAGGAGCCTTTTCCCCCGTTCTTTTTGTCACTGCGTTATGAACAGTTAGCTCAATGTTGTTGATGGGCCCTTACACCACACCACACCTTCATCCAACTCCCATGCATGTGTATCACAACAAGTGCAGGCAGTGGACTGCAGCCACCCATTGCCCAAAGGCACCGTCCTCCAACTGAACGGCACGCCCGCCACACCCTGCACTGCCTTCTTCTACACCCTCCATGTGAGACCCCATACCATGCCCTTTGGATTGCACCAACTTTTGAGGCGCCTCAAAAGATTTCTTTTGCACCCTCCTTATGAGATTTTGCGATACAATGCCCTTTGGATTGCACCGATCAAGCCATACACACCAACTCATAGCTCGTCTTTATCCCACCCTGAACTCAATGCCACGCGACATTCCCAATGCCCAATACACTATGTAAGTGTATCCAGCACATGCATCCTACCTCTCTGTTCCTCACCATCCACACTATGCTCCAGGGAGACCTCTGTTCAACCATCAGTGAACAGACAAACTTAGTTGAAGCTTTCATTACTGCGCTCAACCCCGGGCTTGACTGCTCCGAGCCCATCAAGGCAGGCCGTTCTGTGTGCATCGAGCGTAACCCGGCATTTGCGTTCACTGTCCCCGAGTGTGTGAAACACGGCATGCTCACACCGCAAGATACGTGTGACCGGCTGCTTCAGAGGACTGTCAACGAGCCGAACCTGAGCGCAGACCACTGGGCTGAGCTCTACCGCAACAATCCCGGCCTCACTTGCTCTGACAGCATCCCTGCCTCTGCCTCTGTTGTTGGCAGCAAGATCGGCGTGCAGGTGAGGTCTTGGGAGGGTTGGGGAGAGGAGAGGAGAGGGATGTGAGAGGAGGGGGGGGGAGGGAACGGAAGAGGATGAACAAGGGTGGTTGTGCTTTGTTGGCTGCTAGTGCCCACCTGGGGGTAAAAAAAAAAAACGCTCGCACACACTTTTTGCCTCCTCGCCATGATTTACGGTATTCATTCCTTCCTCGTCAGTCATTTTTAATCTGCACTTCTGGTCAGGCCTTGTTGCGCTTGGTTTCTCTGATGCCTCCTAATCCTTTTGTGCACTTCTTGCACATGCACTTGGGCATCTTGTTATCCTATCCCAGGTTTGTCTTCGGGCAGATTATTGGTCATTCAGATTGGGCTTCTGCAAGAAGGGGAGGGTCAAGGCAGTATCACCATCAATGGCATGTTCAGCTGCTTACCGCTTCTACGGTGGAGCAACAAGCACAGCTATTTCAAAGTTCTATGAGTATAATGCTAGGTCCTGCTCTGGAACTGTAGGTGAGAAGTCTATTTGTGTGCCAGCATCATTCTAATCTTCGACATTTATGTAGTGGTACTGTATGTGAATATTCATTCTTGTATCCCTCGAACCCTCCATACGCCATCGGTGAGTGTTCACTACAAACAAGTTCAGCGTCCAAGGAGTATCGCAGCATGGTGAAGGAAGCTATTCAACAATTCTGTCGATGCACATATAGGGTAGGCAAGTACTACCGTAGGTAGGGGTATGTAAGGGGTGTTGGAAACAAGTAATTTAAACGCTCCTGTCGTATCGAAGCATCGACACGAAACGGAACTGACTACAGCGAAGAAGCACTCGAGTCAACCAAGGCAACCGTCGGAGGTTACGCGAAGTATCAAACATATGTGTATATTTGTTATAGTTTGGTTAGGCTTAGTGGGGTACTCACTGTGGGGTACAACCCCTTAGGTTTCTCCTTTGTATCTCTTCCTTCCACACTCGACACACAACTTTCCCGTAAGATTATGACATGGTATTAAGAGCTAGGACGTTCCTAGCCTAGGACGAATTTTTTTTTTAGGGCCCACCGTTAAACCTTCCGTGTTCCTGCCCGAATCTCGTTCTCTGCTTTTTTCTGCCCGAAATGCGCCCTTAGGTGCATCGATTTTCGCTGCCCCGCGGCCCTGCCCTGTCCTGTCGCGCGTAGCCAGCGAGCAGCCCGTACAGCCCCCGTCTGGCCTTCGCGCCGCCCGTACAGCCCGCGCCACGCCCGCGCGCGGCCCGTATAGCCTACGTTAGGCCCGCGCGCGGCCCGTACAGTCAGCGCTAGGCGTTAGCGCAGCCCGTACAGGCCAAGTCAGGCCCGAGAGCGGCCCGTACAGTCCGCGCTAGGCATTCGCGCAGCCCGTACAGGCCACGTCAGGCCCGCGCGCGGCCAGTACAGCCCACGCCAGGCCTACACGCTGCACTGCGCCTGTGTTGCTGCTCTACCACTGCTTCTACTTGCTGCCGCTGCTGCTGCTTGCTGCAGCCGCCCCTGCAGCAGCCGCCCCTGGCCCCTGCAGCAGCCGCCCCTGGCCCCTGGAGCAGCCGCCACTGCAGCAGCCGCCCCTTGCCCCTGGAGCAGCCGCCCCTGCAGCAGCCGCCTCTGGCCCCAGGAGCAGCCGCCCCTGCAGCAGCCGCCCCTGCCCCCCCCCCCCCCCCCTAAAGCAGCCGCCCCTGGTCCGGCCGCCCCTGAACCCAGAGCAGCCGCCCCTGGCCCCTGAAGCAGCCGCCCCTGGTGCAGCCGCCCCTGGACCCTCGAGCAGCCGCCCCTGGACCCAGAGCAGCCGCCCCTGGCCCCTGCAGCAGCCGCCCCTGGAGCAGCCGCCCCTGGACCCAGAGCAGCCGCCCCTGGCCCCTGCAGCAGCCGCCCCTCGAGCAGCCGCCCCTGGACCCAGAGCAGCCGCCCCTGGCCCCTGAAGCAGCCGCCCCTGGTGCAGCCGCCCCTGGACCCTCGAGCAGCCGCCCCTGGACCTAGAGCAGCCGCCCCTGGCCCCTGCAGCAGCCGCCCCTCGAGCAGCCGCCCCTGGACCCCGAGCAGCCGCCCCTGGCCCCTGAAGCAGCCGCCCCTGGTGCAGCCGCCCCTGGACCCTCGAGCAGCTGCCCCTGGACCCAGAGCAGCCGCCCCTGGCCCCTGAAGCAGCCGCCCCTGGTGCAGCCGCCCCTGGACCCAGAGCAGCCGCCCCTGGTGCAGCCGCCCCTGGATCCCGCGACGCCGCCCCTGGACCCGCGACGCCGCCCCTGGACCCCGTGCAGCCGCCCGCCGAGCGCCGGCCCTGCTCGCCCGGCGAGCGCCTGCTCTACCCGACACTGGTGAGCACCTGCCTTGTTAGCGCGCTGCCGCGCCATCTGCCTGCCTGCCTGCCTGCCAGCCTGCCTGCCTGCCTGTCTGCCTGTCTGCCTGCCTGCCTGCCAGCCTGCCTGCCTGCCTGCCTGCCTGTCTACCTGTCTGCCTGCCTACCTGCCTGCCTGCCTGTCTGCCTGCCGCGCCTGCTCTGCTAGGCTGCTGCTACTGGTACTGGCGGTGGCCAGATGCAGCTCCAGCGACGTCCGCGCGAGTCTCTCACGCCCCAGCAGCTTCGTGAGTGGTACGCTAGTTGGGGTTGTGGCGGTAGTCGTCGTAGCTGTCGCCCTAGAGCTGGTCAGTTGGGAGCGTCTGGCGGTGGCCGGCTGCAGCTGCAGCCGCGTCCACGCGAGACACTTACGTCCCAGCAGCTTCACGAGTGGTACGCTCAGAGTAGAGGGTCTTTGAGTACCGTTCGTTGCCCGTACGTCATTCGCACAGGAGATCGGACGGGTCAGACTTGTGGGACGCTTAGTCACACCCAGTCCCGCTGCTTCGCCCGTCTGAGTGACGCCTGGCGTACCGAGTTTGGCGACGAGGCTGAGCTCCCCGACTGGGTGGAGCTGCTTGGGCAGAGGGTAGATATATTTGCTCTTGACTATGCTGCTATTCTCACTGCTATGTATGCCTTGTCTGTTAGTGCTGAGGGTGACTGCTACTTGTGTGTGCCGCCGGATCCTGGTATAACCCCTGGTATAGCCCCTACAGCACTAGGTGCTTGTGAGTCTGCTCCCCTTGGTACTGCGCCTGCACAGGCCTTGCACACCTTTACGCTTGACTCTGGTGCTTCCCGCTGTTTCTTTCGCGACAGTACCACAGTCACTCCCCTCCCTGCACCTGTTCCTGTCTCACTAGCTGACCCCTCTGGGGGCCCAGTGCTTGCACGGTCTTCCACTGTGCTTCCGTGTCCGGCGGTCCCGTCTGGTGAGCTGTCTGGTCTCCACCTCCCCTCGTTCTCTACGAACTTGGTGAGTAACGCTGTCCTCCAGGATGCGGGGGTTGACACCTTCACCCCTGGCCGGCAGCGTGTGGCGATTTGCACGTGCTCCCAGACTGGTCGCCACCTGGCCACGTTCGCTCGTGCGCCGGGGTCCAGTCTGTACACCCTCACCACTGCGTCACGCTCCGCCCCTTTGTCTCCCCAGTTGCACGCGTCTGCTCAGGTAGCTACACAGTGTGAGTGTCGCCGGCTGTCGCACGACACTCTCCTGTGGCACCACCGCCTTGGTCACCCCTCCTTGCCTCGCCTACGCAGAAAGCACTCCCGCCTCCTGGTTTCTGGGCTTCCCAGGTCTCTGCCTGCCCTCCCTCCCTCGCCTGCGCCGCCCTGCATTCCCTGCGTCGAGGGGCGGCAGCGCGCCGCTCCTCACTCCTCCTCGTTCCCTCCCACAGAGGCTCCACTGCAGACTCTCCACCTGGACATGTGGGGCCCAGCCCGCGTCCGTGGACAGGCCCACGAGCGGTACTTCCTGCTGGTTGTCGACGACTACACGCGCTACACCACGGTCTTCCCCTTGCAGCGCAAGGGGGATGTCCCTGATGTTTTGATCCCCTGGATCCGCGCTACTCGTCTCCAGCTCCGCGAGCGGTTCCAGTCGGACTTTCCTGTCCTGCGTCTGCACTCTGACAGAGGTGGTGAGTTCTCCTCAGACCTCTTGGCAGCCTTCTGTGCGGAGCACGGCATCCGCCAGACTTTCACGCTTCCGGCCTCTCCTCAGCAGAATGGGGTTGCTGAGCGCCGCATTGGCTTAGTCATGGAGGTCGCTCGTACCTCCATGATCCATGCGGCTGCCCCCCGTTTTCTGTGGCCGTTTGCGGTCCGGTACGCCGCGCATCAGCTCAACCTTTGGCCCCGTGTCTCCTTGCCGGAGACCTCGCCCACACTGCTGTGGACGGGGAAGGTTGGCGACGCGTCGCGTTTCCGGGTCTGGGGTGCTCGTGCCTTTGTCCGCGATACCACCGCGGACAAGCTCTCCCCTCGCGCCATTCCTTGCGTCTTCCTTGGCTTTGTCCCTGACGCGCCTGGCTGGCAGTTTTACGACCCCGCCTTGCGCCGTGTCTTTGCGTCTCAGGACGTCACCTTTGACGAGTCCGTCCCCTTTTACCGCCTCTTCCCCTACCGCACTGCTCCTCCCCCCTCCCCCGCCGCTCTTTCTCGCCCCAGGTCCTCCCCAGGTAGACCCCCTCCCCGCGCCAGGTCCTGCTCCTTCAGGTGTCTCTCAGGTAGACCCCCCCGCGCCTGCGCCTGTTGAGGTCACTGGTGACTCCGGTCCTGCTGCGAGTGGTGCTGTCCCTGGGGGTGCGGAGCTTGGGGGTGCTGAGTCTGGGGGCGCTGAGCGTGAGGAGCCTGGGGGTGCTGCGTCTGGAGGTGCTGCGTCTGGGGGTGCTGAGCCTGCGTGTGCGGAGCCTGGGGGTGCTGAGTCTGGGGGTGAGTCGCCTGAGGGTTCTGCGACTGTTTTTCCGCGGTCTCCTTGGAGTAGCCGTCTTCGTCCGCGTGTGCCCCTCACCTCCCAGCAGCTGCACGACTGGTACGGTCGCCGTCAGCGTCGCGCTTCTGCACCTCAGGGCTCTACTGCTGGGGGTTCTTCTGCTGGTGTCGCTGGTCCCGGAGGTGCTCGTACTGAGGGTACTGGAGCTGCTGGGGCTGGCGGTGTTGTGACTGAGGGTACTGGCGCTGCAGAGGGTGCTGGAGCTGCTGGGGGTA